GTCTGGTGAGCTTACTTTTTGTAATTTTTTTTTTGCCTTTTTTTTGAAATCTTTTTGAACCTTTTTTCTTGAAATCTTGAAAAATCTCGAATCTTGAAAAAAAAAATCTTGAAAAAAATGAAATCTTGAAAAAAACCTTTTTTTTTTGAAATCGAGGTCGAGTAATCTTTGCCCAAACGCTTTTTTTTGTTTTTATTGATTCAGTTAATTAGTTGGATGAAAAAACAGCATTTTTTGACATCAGGTTACCGTACAGTTGCTGGCAGCCTTTTCTTATATTTTTTTTGAAATTGCTGGGAAAATCGTCAATTATTAAAATTGCTGAGAAGGTACTTCGCGAACCAAAAGTGGCAGTGTTCGAGGTGAGATGATGATGCTCAGCAAGCACATTAAAGTGATCTCGTTACAGATAATTGCTGTAGAAATTTTAGAGATATAAAGTAGAAGAATAGAAGGATTTCACTTGAATGTCTTGTGTACTCGAAGACATTTTATGATGCAGTTTGTGTTTCTCATCCCTTAGCTGTATACACCAGACCGAACAATGAATGTCCCTGGCTATGAGATTGGAACAGGATGAGGCCTGGGAAAAGGCTGTCCGTCCGTGTGTGTGTGTGTGTCCGTGTGTCTGTGTGTGTGTGTCCGTGTGTCTGTGTGTTCGCGCGTTTTTGTCACCCACTTTCAACTCGAGGACAGTAAAGCCAGAAGGCTGAAACTTTGGGTTTATGCGTTAACAGATGTAGTTTGTTTGGCGTTGCTGGCCCAGCAGCGTGGAGAGGAACACAGTCGAATTTTGATAATTAATGAAAACACTGGAAGTAGTGCCATTTAGGTACTTCCATATAGATCTCCCATTTAGATCTCCTGCCAAATACATATGTTAGTAGTGGGATTTGAGCTGGCACATCGTTCAAGGGATGAAACGAATATCAGGTTCGCCAAATATTTGATTATCTGGCGATGAAGCACTGGAGAACCATACCGTGTTCTAGTAACTGGTGTTCTAGTTGCCGTTGAAAAAAGTTTATTTAGATTTCTGTTAAGGATCAAAGTTCTCTCTAGAACTGGGATCAAGGATATCCATTTACTGCCAATATTATAGACCTGAAACGCGTTAATTTTGGTAATACCTATTAAAATCTTTTGGTGTTTAGCTAGAAGAAAGAAAAATGGAAGAAAGAAATGCACCGTTGGGAGTAGCAGCAGCAGCAGCAGCACCAGGCAATTATCACGATGAAGAAGCATTTCCAACGGAACACAGAATGTCACGAATGCCCAAA